GCGTTCTGATGATATGGATTCATGATCCCCAATCAATTCATGAATCAAATGATTTTGATCAGATCAACTTGAATCTGATAAGAAAGTTTGGAAGGGGCAAGGAAAATATACTTTTTTTGCCTTATATATCCGGGTAAGTGAACGTTGTTAAAATAATAATGTTCCATATGTGATTGATATTTAGAGTTACGTATTATAATTTCAGGCGCCATGGCAACTTCTTGTAGGTCATGCCAAGACAACTAATGTTTTGTGGTTCTGTTTCATTGCACAAGCCCCTCCCACACAACTCAGACAAGCAATTGATTGGTAAGAACCTCAATGTTTGGACCTTTCTTTGTTATATAAATGATGCTTAAAAACCTTTTTTAGATATGTTCTATTCAGCAAAGATAATGATGGGTGGGAGATCAAGACTTGTGAATAGTAGGAACGAAAGAGAAGAAAGATTGCTTGGATTTCTCTCAGGTTGTTGGACATATGCTAAGCCATACTTTGTTATAATATGTTTATTTAATGTTATTCACTACTATTAGCAACTTGATGATATATTGTAGTGTCACAGACACAAATGGGTCATATGAGTGCGGATATATTGTAATGTATTGGATGACCCATATTGTTCGTTTCACATTCACAAGTCGATGGGAAACACTGGTATATTTTAACTTTAACAAATTTTGATTTTTTCCAAATGTTGAATTCATATACACTTAATTAATATGAAATTGTCGTTTGCAGAGATCAAGACCTACTACAACGTTCTTGAGAAATTCACTATTATTCAGTAGGGAACGCTGCTGCGAAGTATATAATTAGATTATACAATAGCTCTTAGATTTAAACATTGCATTTGATTAGATTGAATTTTCTTAGACTTTGTACTTTATTTGATGTTGAAATACATTTGAACATGTGTTTGTTTTGTTCAAATTGAATTTGTGTACATGTTTTTATATGCAGGTCTGTTTTTGTGGTAGTGGATATCACAAAAACAGACCTGCAATTTTAAAAAACTGCAGGGGAATATGCCGCGGTTGTAACCACAACCGCGGCATATAGTGTTTCGTTTTTTTGTAAAATGAGACATATGGCCGCGGTTAGTGCTAAAATCGCGGCATATACTACAGTCTTTTGCCGCGGTTGAACCGCGGCATATAGTGGACAAAATTTTTTTTTTTTTAAGAAAATGGATTTAGGCAGCGGTTCCTTGGACAACCGCGGCATATTCCGCAACCTATATACGGCGGCCATAATCGAGACCTAAAGTCTCTGACTTACTACCGCGGCTGAATATGCCGCGGTTCGTAAACCGCGACGTATAGTGAAAAATAACCACAGTAAAATTCTCTCACTGCACTAGTGAAAAGAAAAACTCTGTAACTGTTGCAGTCAGTTATTTCTCAATCGCACAAGACAATTAGAGATTTTGGAAGTGCGCCATGAAAATGGTACTCATGTAGTAGAGTTTAACCTAGGCTCAACCATTTCCATTCAGAATATATACGCCATGATTATTCTGATGAACCAATTTACAGGTCAAATATTGAATCAGACATATGTCTTAAAAATTATGCGAAAAAAAATGTAGTTGAATGCAATGTATCATCACTAACAATCTCATCAAAATGTCTTTTTTATGAATTTGCGTACTTTATTCAATTTGGACTCTTGATTCATACTCATTTCTTTAATGAATTCTAATACAGATACAAAACCATTTTCATCATAAATTTTTAAATATGTTACAGTGCCATTTAAGTGATCTATAACAATATTTAAATATTTTTAGATTGCATGTACTTACAAAATTGACAGCAAAGAACATATCATACAAAAATTCATTCCCAATATAAAATTTCATAATTCTCCAATTCAAAATTATTCATGATAAGGTGCTAAATATATGATTGTACTCTTTATTTTAGGATCGTAACTAGTTTTTGACAATAATAAGTAGTGCAAGTCTTATTTTTGGTTCTTGAAACTTAATAACACTTTGAATTACGCATGTGCAGTGCAATCAGTATCATCGTAGAAAGATAAAATTGTTTTGTTGCTACTGAATTAATGAAAGTGTATTTTGGGATTTCTGTTTTATCTTTAGAAAGGAATGGTGATAAGTTCATTTGAATGGAAGCACGGCACGAAAAAGTGATTTAGTGGTGAAGAAATAGAAGTAGAATTGGCTTAGTATACGTCAAGTGTATAGAAGAAGAGAAGTGTCGTTGTTTGTGGTGATTAGGAGAAAGGATAAACATGATGAAGCTGACGTAAGCAGAACAAACTGAACAACGGAAATTAATCACCGATTTGCGACGCACAGACGCCGTTTTCTTTGTCCCTTTCGTCACTGCTTTCTGGATCAGAATTTGGTATCTTCTCTTTCTCAGTGATTCATTCCAAACACTACAACACAAAGCTATACCTTCATCTCCACCGTAGTCATCAACACTTCTATTCCTCAAACCAAAACAATTAGCCTTTTCATAACAATGGACCCCATTTTTTTTATTTAATTCTTCCTTATTCTTATCTAATAAGCTAGGGTTATAGTATAAGATTTATTAATATCTTAACTTCAAATGTTGGTTATACCTGTGTCGGAAATGTTTTAAGAATATCGGATGTAGATGGTTTTAGCAAATGATGATTATAAGGATGAAAAGAATACTGAAAAAAAAATATATTTGATTTTTATCTGTAAATAATTTACAAGATATTTATTATTTGTAGTTAATAGATATTTTAATATTTATTTATAAATAAATCAGATACTATATTATACCATGCTCACATATATTTATTACTTATAAAAAAGTTAAAATTAAAATTTAATTCATATTTTATTAAGTTAGATTTAATTAAAATTAATTTATATTTTATTAAATTAAATTTAATTAAATTTTTAATTTTAATTTTAATTTATATCTAATTTAATTTATATTATATTTTATAATTTTATTTTAAAAATTTATAAAATAATTTTTTCTAAATGTCCGTAGGTAACTAGGAATAATAAATAACAAATGGATATCTAACGAATAACGAATAATAAGTAAATTTTTTTTTGTATGAATTTGATAGTGAGTATACATTATCCATCATATGAATATGAATATGTTGGGTGATTAGAATCTGAAGAGATCCATATATTGTCTTGTAAGAATTTTAATTTAACTTTGAGAAACATTAACGTTTGATATTATAAGTTCTTTAATGTTATTTTAGTTAAAATAGAAAGAAGGGTTGGTGAGAGGAGTTGCTTTGGAAGATGAACCTAGAAGAGTTTAGAGGGCAGGTTCAACACCGCTGCTTCGAAACACCACTGCTATCTTGAACTTGGCTGGGATAATATGAATCATTCATCCACTTTCATTGCCAAATCTTCATATCCTACATTTTTGTGTACTTCTGTCACTTCACACTGCCAAAAAAGGCCAAACAATGAATGACTTGATTGAAAATATTGATGAATTATTTCAAAATACAAATACAAAGTATCATGTTAATAAAAATGGGCAAATGTAGAAATATACCATCGGCAAAGATTCATTAATGTAATGATAAAGATTTTGAACTCAATGTGGCATTAAATTCAAAACAACGGACTCTTCGTTCGTATGCAAAGATGTCTCCCCTTAAGCATTATTGCTAAGACTCTCACTTTGCCAAATAGTAGCATATTCCAGCAAGCAGTGGAATTTTTTTTTTTTTGGCCAATAATGCAACTAAACAAATTCTGCTATAGCTGAAATGGACAAGGAAAATTGTATATTGATCATTTAACCCCGAATGCATTTTTCAAAGAGGACTTGGCCAAAAAAGTGAAGTAGAAAAAGGTTGGAATCAGAATTTTGGAAATTGGACGGAGAATAGTTTGGTGCACTCAAACAAAACAAAACAAAATGAAACAAAACCTGTGATGTAATATCAAACTATTAATTTTGTTTGGATATGCCTTTCGAGGAAAAAAAAGTTAAAAAAATTGGAAAGCCAGTACACAAAATTGTTAAGTGTGTCAATTAAAAATAAAGTGCTGGCAGCAAAATTTTTATTGACTAAACTTATTTAAAAGCTATAAAATTACAAAAACATTCACAAAAAATGTATAATTTTCAATAAATATTGACTAACAAAAAGTATAATAATTGTGAGAAAGTAGTATTAATTAGACATCACATTCCAGAATATGCTGTGAATGTTCCGAAAGGAAATTACTGTTCAGGACTACGGGTCAGAGCGACTTAATTTCGGTACAGAGTTTCTTGTTTAAGATGATGAAACTAAGAAATCAGTACGGAGAACAGTACAAATAATGTCAACACTTTTTTGACATCTCTGCCCCCTTAAACTCTTCCAATCTCATACAAAACTAATAATATCTCTGTAAAGGAAGAAAGTACAAGAAGATTTTGAGCAACCATTTGCTTAGTGTTGTCATGTGTAACATGATGACCAAGATGTGTATTGCACACCAACATACAATATCTTGCTTAATTACTCACAACATTATTGCTTTCCTTTGATAAAATAAGTAGAGACACATTGTAACATGCAAAAAAATCATGCATATAGACTCACATGGAGTTCACTACCGAAAATGAAAGAAAAGACTCACATCACATGTAGCTCAGCTGATAGCATCGGTTGAGAGAATATCCCACAGACGTAGCAAAACTAAATTTTTGTTTAAAGCAAATTGTGCAATGAAAACCCGATGAGGACAACATGGTCCAATCTCACAAACGTGTTTTTTCACGAATTAATTACTTTATGCAGTGTGTCTTATAGTGAGGTAAATTCAGTAGCCTCTTCCTATAAAACCACCCACGCTAAACCTCGCTCTCTCAGCGTGAGCAAAACGAGCGAAATAAAATAGAAATGGCTCCCTCGTACTGCGTGAAGGAGAGCAAACCCTGCGTCGGTTGGGTTCAGCGTTACTTGGATGATTGTCTCTGCGATCTTAAAGATGAAATCTCCTTTTCCTTGGGCTTCATCAGTCTCATATGCTGGGGAGTAGCAGAAATTCCTCAGATTATCACCAACTTTCGAGCTAAGTCTAGCCATGGTGTCTCCCTAGCCTTTCTCCTCACTTGGGTCGCTGGGTTCGTCATCTTTTCCCTCTTTCTTTTCTCTACTAATTTTAACCCAACGTTTTATTACTCCCACAATTACTCTAATTCCTTTCCTCAACCATTTTTTATGCAGCGACATGTTCAATCTCGTTGGTTGTGTTCTGGAGCCTGCCACGGTACCAGACTTCTAACCATCAACATTAAAATTAAAACACTTGTTTCGTTCCATACATGTTCTTGTTCCAGTTCTTTCTTGCTTTAATGTTTTTTATATATTTGTACTTATCGTGATTGTTGACTCACTTTATTTACTTGTTTTTATCTTTTTTGTGTGTTGTGTTTTGTTTTTCCACTTGCTTTTTTGGATGGCTGCAAAACCAGTTGCCTACTCAGTACTACACAGCTCTGGTAACTACTGCACCGGAATTCCCTCTCTGCGTGTTATTTCCATTTCTATAAATTTCTTTTTGGTGCGTTTGGTGTTTTAGATCTTAAAGCAATGTAGCTCTGAAACGAAACCTTTAAATTATCTTTAGCTTGGGAATTGCTTGTTTTAAAATTTTCCAGATTCTCAAGAGTGCATTTCCAATAGAGTTACTCTTCTAGTAGCAAGAGTCAAGGTATTTATTGTACAAAAAACCCTTTAAAAAATTATTTAATATTTGCTTTTAAATCTGCCGTTGGAAATATTGAATTAAATGTATTAAATCTCTTTTCCACAATTAATTTATTTAGGCATTTATTAACAAGATCCTTCATAAAATTAAATTGATTTTGTATTTCAAAAGCAAGATTGCAATAACTTCATATAAAAAATTTAATCTAACGCAAGAAAAGTATTTCTCAATTTTACTTAAACGTATTTCATAAACTAAATTTTGAATTTTCTACAATCAATCGTATTTAATTATAAAATTTGTAACTGTAACACTGGGAAACATACTATCATGAACTTTGAAAACTTTTATGTCCATTAACATAAACAAATATTTGCAAAAGTAGGGTACGCCCACTTGTTCACTATACAATAAGGCTATGACATGTCACCAAGCTGAAGGCCACCCATTGGACACGTGTTATTGTGTTCTTTCCAGAGACAAATCAACCGGAACGTTCTTTTGAAATCATCTCTTCCCTTTTCCATTTTTGTGTTCTCAAAAAATTGTATATTAGTATTTTCTTTATATTTTTTAAGTTGTAATTTTTATTTATATAAAAAATAAATAGACTTAAGTTCTTAACATCGCTTGTTTATGTGATGTGCAGCTTTACACAATCACTACGATCGTGCTAGTACTTCAAAGCCTCTATTATGACTACATCTATAAATGGAACAAGCGTCGTCGAAATATCAACATCGACGAGGTACAGTAATAATTTCAAATTTCTCATGCCAGGTTCTGCTCATCAAAATTGAAATATAATTTAAAAGAGAACACGTATATTTCATTAATTTATTCTTTTTTATTAATATTACTAATAGGCCCAGGAAGAAGAGAAAAAACCTTTGAGACCCAAACCAGGGCCACAGTCAGGGATTGCAATACCAAATGACGAACCCAAATCAACGCCCCGACGGGAATACTACTATAGGTAAAAATTGTCTTTCAATTCCCAGTTCATATGAGTACATTTTGTTAAATAATGGTTTTATTAAGAGATTATTCAACTAATTATTTGTTTTTGAGTTAATTAAACAGGTCAGCGAGATCTCTGGCCGGTAATGATACTCCACCATTTGGTACCTACTTGAGAGCTGCTAAAAGTGTCCCTTCGGCCATGGAAATGAACAATGATTCATCCTCTGATGATGAGCCACCTCCACTTTCTTCCACCAAGCCTGTAACACAGCCTAGACCCATCCCTCGATCTGTCCCTGTGAGTTTTTATCCCTGAAATTAAGGTTAACAGAATTTGTATCAATGTCTCAAAAGGTTCTTGTTATCTTAATTTGTTTTCCCAAGTGATGTACTTTTTTAAGTATGACATGATCATCAAAGTTTTGCTAGAGGCACAGTAATATGTCTTGATCTCCTTATACATATTCACTTCCTGTGTTTCAGGCAAGCTATGGAACATTTCTAGCAGCATCTATGAACTTGCCCCGGCAGGGTAATGCTTTGAAGGAGGGATACATAAGATTCAACGGAAGAAAGCTACTCTTGCAGGTATACAGATTGGCAATGTTACTGTTTGATTAATTTATTCACACACTGCCATTACCTTGCTGCCACTTAATTTCTAGAACTCATCACAGGAGCAAAACATGCACAGTGCCTTGGGTCAATGGTTAGGATGGTTTATGGCTGTGATCTATATGGGTGGCAGGCTCCCTCAAATATGGTTGAATGTATGGCTCAGAACTTTTTCTTTTATTTCTGAATACTTTTCATTTTTTCTGCAGTCGTGTTTTTTTTTTCTTGTTAATTACTGATAAAGTTGTTGACTACGTAACCATGGCCAGATTAAACGAGGGAGTGTGGAGGTACTGTATGATCTTAATCTCCTTTTTCTTTTTCAAATTATAACTCACATTGCATTTCCCCTGATTTATAGATGATTTCTCTCTTTATCACTGTAGGGCTTAAATCCTCTGATGTTTCTCTTTGCATTGATCGCCAATGCCACTTACGTTGGAAGGTTACTATTTCCCTCCCTTGCATATGTTTTTCAGCCTTCTATTATGAAAAAAATGAAATTAAGCAATATTCTAATTCCTCTGCTGTTCTGTCATGTGTGCAGTATTCTTGTAAGAACTACCGAATGGGAAAGCATCAGAGCTAATATGCCATGGCTGTTGGATGCCATAGGTTGCGTGGCATTGGATCTATTCGTATCCTTTATACGCAGTTTTTTTATGCAAATATTTGTTGTTGTTAATAAGAAATTGTTTCTTTTTTTCCAGAACATACTCATCAAACACATTCTTACAGGGCTACAAAGTTGTTAAACCTTAACAATGGTAGATAATTTTGCAGTACGCCAACTATAGATACATTCGGAAGAAAGCAAGAAGTGATGATTCTGATTACGGGAACTACGAGGAAGACAACAAAAGATTCGTGTCTTGATACGCCGAACTGTAACAACATGTTAATCTTTCCAAAACTGAAACCATCGTATAACACTTCTATTTCACCATAACATTTAGCTATTAGTAAAGGCGTGGTTAGAATATTGAAGTGGCCTCATTAGGAAACGTGTCTATTTTCACGTTAATGTGATATAGGAAGCTGTCAAAGTTATCAATATGTCTACGAATTATGAATCGTTCACGATTCTTACACCAGCTACCAAATTTATGAACTATTAACCACCCACGATACTATATTATTCCACTTTTTGTTCACCAAATCACTGTCAACAGCTAGCAAATTAAGATGGAATTGATTACTCATATCCTATCTTAAGATTGTGAATTATGAACCGTTCGGTCACATCATAATTCATTCTTCAAACTGTAACACAGGATTCATGATTTTGTATTCAATCATGTATGAACAGGGATAGCTCGACCGGCCAAGTGTAAAGTAAAGAAATATGTTGCAAATTATACAGATTAAAAACAAATTGATTTGAAAATTTAACTACCAAAAGAAAGTAATTAAATCAAATTTCATCGACCAATGATGTTTCCAAACAGTTCCATTGTCTTTTTATCTCTTTCCTACTGCACATATCCAAGGAAACAAATGAACTTTTCTTTGGAGTCGTTACTACAAGATCAAAATAGAGTGTATCATCTACGCCGCCTCCAAGATCTCATTCTGCATCTTCAAAAATTCTAATTTTGACCTTCAGAAATCTCATCATTATCCTACATTTATAAAAAAGTTTATTTTTAACTTTAATAAATATATTTATAAAAGACTTTACACTACGTTAATAATAACTAAATTTAAAATTCAAATATTATTTAATATAATTTTATATTTTAAAAATTATTAAAATATGATTTATGTAATAATAATATTATATTAAAAATATAAAAATAAAATAATTAAAATAAAAATAATAACAATGAAAATAAAATTATATTAAATAAAATATTTAATATATTTAAATATATTAAATTATATTAAATATTAAATTAAATTAAATAATTATTAAATTTTAAATAAAAGATAAAATTTTAAAATAATTATTTATCAAATAACAAATAAAATTATATTAAATAAAATATTTAAATATACTAAATTATATTAAAATATTAAATTAAATTAAATAATTATTAAAATTTATATATAAAATAAAATTTTAAAAACTCTTTATCGGATATGGATATCCGATTTATAACTTATCGGATATCTATATCCGATTAACAAATTTTTCAAAATTTTGTTTTTCTAAAATTTTAATAATTATTAAATTTAATTTAATATTTTAATATAATTTAATATATTTAAATATTTTAAATATGATTTTAAGTATTATTTTGATTTTGATTTTGATTTTGATTTTAGTTATTATTTTTTTAATTTTTTTAATAGAATTATTTTAAAAATATAAATCATATTTTATTAATTATTAAAATATAAAAATATAATAAGTAATATTATAATTTTTATTTAAGTTTAATATTTATTAAATTTTAAATAAAAAGCAAAAGTATTAACATATTTTATAGATTTTAATATATAAATAAGTTTTTTAAAATTTTCATTTTTATTTAAAATTTAATAATTATTTAATTTATTTTAATATTCTATTATAATTTAATATATTTGAATATATTAAATCAAATTTATTATTATTATTTATTATTATTTTTATTATTTTTATTTTAATTATTTTATTTTATGTTTTTAATATAACTATTATTATAATATAAATTATATTTTACTAATTATTAAAATACAAAATTATTTTAAATAATATTTAACTTTTAAATTAAATTAAATTATTATTAAGTTGGTGAAGATTGTTTTTAATAAAAAAGAAAAGAAAATGAAAAAATATTTATTTAAGTTAAAAATGAAAGTTTTGAAAAAGTTAGAGGTGGAGGATGAGATGTCAGAAGATTAAAAGTGTAATTTTTTTGGAGGTGTAGGATGAGATCTTGGAGGTGCAGATGAAACACTCATCAAAATAAGATGTTTAGGTGTTGAAGCCCAATTATAAATTTACGTTGAAGCCCATTTATGATTTTGTCCTAACAAAATGACACCATGTGCTTATGGGCCTAAAGATGGAGCCCTGAAGCAAGGTTGAAGGATGGCAAATAAACTTTCAAGTAACTCAAATGAAGTTCAAATTTATTTTCACTGAAAGTAGAAAAAAATGTTAGAAGAGTGTATTATAGAGTGTGTCAGCAACGTTCTTTTAATTATAATTATGTTGTATTCATATTAACGATTGATTATAAAACTGTTCTTGCAATGTTTTTTATTATAGATGAAAAATAAGTTCAAACAACCATGATAGTCGCAGAGACGAAACCGCTGGCATGTACCTAAAATGGGTTTGGTAATGTTTGTGTATCTTACATGTGATAATCTTGATCTTGATTCAATTTTCAGTTTCCAGAGGTTGAAGTCGCTTGGAACACAATTGTTGGTTCTAGCGGTGAAAGAAACAAACAACCAAAATAGATTGTAACACCTGTCGCTGTTGCTTTTGGTATAAAAAACAAGGAGATATGAACCACCACCCAACACATCTTCACAATGAAATGCAAAAAAGAAATGAAAAAAAAGATGATAAAGTAACCAAAAATTTAATGTTGTTTTTTAAGTAATCCACATTTGCTACCGAGAAATTCAATAAACATGTGTCCTAACTTGGTTTGCCTCATTAGTTCAAACCGAAATTTTAGGGGGTTTGTTCATCTCAATGGTACATCTCGTTGTCTTTCATTTTCCGTCTCTTACTAGTCATGTGCTACTTTCTCGATCCCTTTATTTCTCCATCTAAATTTAATGTTCATGCTTCTCATTCCTCTACCCAACTCTCATTCATGCAAAACAGATAATTAATTTGACCATACATATAATATAAAACCATTGTGATACCATGTTTTTCATATTTAATTTACAACACCATAGTAATCCGCGTAACCCATGTTCTATATCACCCTCGGTGTATTGCGAAGAAATTAGATACATGCACAAGTTGACTTAAAAATTAAAATAAGGTATGCCTAAATATTTCGGTAGACTCGTTGCACTTTTTAATGTCTCAGCATCTTTCTTTTGTTTGAACATCTAGTCTTTTACATCGTCCGCTCGCCGAAACTAGCATGCTACTTCGTCTAGGATCTAGAACAAAAAAAAAATACACCAAAAATGTGTACTCTAAAAATTTCCATGGTTAAATTAAAGTAAGATGGCGTATTTGAATCAAGTAGTCGGGTTGACTTAAAAGAAAACTTTGAGTATACCATGTGGACTTCTTTTGCAACGCTTCTTAAATAAAAATAATAGTTAAAACGTCATTTAAAATAATCCAGGAAAGGACTCAGAGATGGTTTTAATTGCATTATGTCATCCACAGTCGAAAACATATATTATATATAATTTTAAAAAATTCTTAAAAGATTGATTTTTAAATTAACTTAATCTTATAAAGCTGACTTATAAAATTATATTTATATCCACTTAAATACAGTAATTTTATCTTAATTTTAATTGATATAAAATTTTTAATATATTTTTCATATCGAAATATACATATTTTAAGTGTGTAATTAGATATTAATAATGGTATGATGGTCAAGATAATTTTTTCAATAATGAGTGAGTTTCTAAGATAAGAT